GTGTTCCAGTGCGTGGTGGGAGTCAAAATGCAAATATTGGTCTGTGTGAGTGGGCTTATGATATACGCCAGTTTCCAACCGTCCTCCATCTGAAACCAAGACATCGCAATCCAGGAACGCCAACCTGCCATTTTTTACATCCTCTCGTGTGAACTTTATATATTCATCCACAGAGTTSATGTGATCAGTGAAATGTTGGACTTCCTGGGCTTTAATTTTAACCCAGGTGTCGTCAACATATCTGAACCAGTGGCTCGGTGGCACCCCTGAAAAGGACATCAAGGCTCTCTTTTCCAATTCCTCCATGTACAGGTTTGCAACAATAGGAGAAACTGGGGATCCCATAGCACACCCATGTTTCTGCCTATAATAHTGCCCCCCGTACGTGAAGTAGGTTGACTCTAAAATTATCATACCCTGAAAATAACTGCATGCGCGACCTCATGCGAAATCGCAAAATGTCAGATTATGAGTTGTGAGTGACTCAGTTACTACCACATCAGTATCTTTAAAACTGCGTTATACCCATTTTTAATCAAATTGGCCCTAAAATTTATTTAGTTGGAGGTGAACCTTTAATTCTGCAAGTTTCAAATTGTCCAGTGGTTCGTGAGATATTTTAATAATAGACAGATGCCAAAATGGGCAAAAAATATTATCACATGCCTTCACCTTTCTGCAACAAGTGATCATTACAAAAATATGCAGTGGTGGGCACAGTTCCCCTAAAGCACTAACAGGGGAAATAATTTCCTGATTAGTGCTTTAGGGCTTTTGCTAATTTTAAAATTCATCAGTGGATTAGCACTTGATAACTTTAGAAGCACTAACCGAGGTCTATAAATGTTATTGATCAACATAATGTTAACAGCTGAGGGTGAAAGCTGTCGCACATTTTTTTCATATGTGTGTCACTGATCCACCAGGTGACAATATATTGACAAAAACATAAATATGGCTGTGGATGTCAATGATAAGTCTTCAGAGAGCAACATGGCAGCATGTGACTTATACGAATGTTCATGGGTTGACTGAGTTATTTTAGTGCTTTAGAATTAGCTTTTGCTAAAACTTTCAGTGCTTAGTGCTTTAGGATTAGGGGACCTAAATATTTAGGGCTAGCGGAACTAATTTTTAGATTAATGCTGCCCACCACTGAAAATATGTTTCATGACCGTTTATACTCATGCATAAAATCGGTCACGATACCCTAAATGCATTCATGGCCACTTTGCCTTTCTAATGACTTTTGTTTTTGTATTTAAGATTATTTTTATTGGTATTTTAAGTTATGACAATGAAATGTCCTCAATGTGTAAGATTGCTGGACGTCAGAATGACTTTTTTCATGTTTCTGCAGTCTGCATACTAATATGTTATACTTGAGCAACTGGCCTCAAAACGTTCATTCAGGAGATGGGAGCAAATACATTTTGTAAACTTTATACTTTTTTAATCTTTTACTTTATTTACAAAGATATTTTTCCATAGAAATACAATGAGATCTGTTAGGTCATTCAAAACCACTGAAACCTGCTTCAGCATGCTCTATATTTCTTGCTAAGCTAGCTTTTAGCTATTGTTTCTTTTCTTTTTGTTATTGTCTCTAACACTTTTCTATTTTTAGCTCTTAGCTACTGATTGATTGATTTTAATTAGCAGTAATATGTACACACAGTACATTCATTATTAGTACTTGGATAACTCAAGAAAGTTAGAATCACTTCTTTCCATTGTGGTCCAAAGTAATTAGCTACTGCTTTGCATTTTCTGCTACTTTTAACTTTCTTTGCTACTTTTAACTACTTTTTCTTTTAATAGCTTTTTGCCAATTTTCCTGCATTTATCCAGGATTTTGATATAGCTTCCTACCTTTTAATATGATTTTATTGTGGCGTTTGTTTTTACTACATTTAATTTTAGCTAGACTTTTTCTACATTTTGCCTTTAACCGTTTTTTCTTATGTATTGCTTAGTTGTTTATATTTTAGCTATTTTTTGCAACGTTTGGCTTTTTTTTTCTTTTTTAGCTGTTCTTTTAGTTTAAACTAATTTTTCAGCTTCTTCATCAAATGTTAGCAAAGTTATCCAGCACTCAGCGTTAACTCAGAGATCTTTCATCCCAGCATGGACTGATGAAACAAAAAAAAAAAAATTAAAACTTGTTCATTTCTAATCAACCATCATCAGTTTCTGTGGCAAGCGGAACTAATGTCCGGGAACCTTTATGGCGGTGCACACACTTTGAACATAGCGACTAAACGTTCAGAAAATTTGTTTTCCTCCAGAGATTAAAGTCGTGAGAATGTTATAAAAACCGAATAACGGTAAGTTCAATAGTTGCCGCATGTTTGATGAAATTGTTCACCTGCGATATGTATTGTGGAAGTTGTAGTTTTCGCATTTTGTGTTCTGTTGTAGAGACTTCTAAGCGGCGGGTTTTAAGACTACAACTCACAGCGTCCAGCGCGAGGCAGAGCGTGACATACGCGTGTGTACCGTTCACCATGGCGTTGTCCAGCTCTGTGTGACAGGCAGGCCAGCATCACAAAACCTCTCCGGACCGACGCGTCTGCGCACAGTATTCTGCTGCCAGCGACGCCGTGGCGACTAATAAAGATGGGCTCCCGAATCAAGTAAGAACGTTTGCCCCCTTTGTTTTGTTTTGGCGAGGCTGTCCGCAACGGGACTGCTGCTGTGTTAGCTTTGATGTTCTGAGTCACTGTCAGGGAAAAATAAGAGTCCAAGAAGGCCCTGACTTGTTGCGACACTCACTGTCTAAAATCAGTATCTAGTGCTTCTGGGCTCAAAGAAAAACAGTGACAATAACTGACTTTAGAGGTTTTCTGTCATCTAAAAACCACGTTAGTGCCGCACTGACAGACCACAGGCAGAAACAGATAAGTAGCGGATGTACTGATAGTGTAAACATCCCAACTTCACAGCGCCTTTCTCCAAAACCAGGTGATCAAAAAGCTAAACCAGTCTCTTCTGCCATAATAGAAACGTGGTTACTTTAAGACTAAATTGGTGATAGTTGTGTCCTTGAGGGAATCTGTAGTGAGTCAACACAGAAGAAGAGAAAATGATCAAATTCTTTGTTTCTGACAGGAAGTTTGCACAATTCATTCATAGCAAGTCAGCAGGATTTTTCTGGTGTTCCTGCTCTGGTGGAAGAATAAGAAGTGAAATATTTGCCAAAATCGGCTTGAACGTTTTGTAAAATTCAAACCTCATATTTAGGAGAGAGTTTGAGCTTCTAACATCCTCCTCACGATGAGCAGTTTCACTTTTAGTTGGACATAATGTTGTTACATTCACTGACAACAAAAGTTAAAACAGTCAAAACAGTGAGTGAAGGTCACTAGACACCAGGAAATATCTGGTAGAGTCAATAGACAGTGTTACAAACAAATGATGACTTCAATGATGTCATATTGGTTGTGTCCAAATTCAGGGTCTGTGTCCTTCGAAGGAACTGGCCTACTCAGTCAGTGTGGGCTGGGTCCAGTGTCGACCGTGAAGACTGGGAGAAAGAGGTTGTGAATGTGGACGGTCTAACCTTCAGCTTTATTCCTGCCCTTATCCATGCGAATGCCCTGTTGCCTACTAGCAACCATGGCGACACTAAACAGAAGTAATGAAGATCAAAAATAGCAAAATAATAATATATTAAATAGGGGTGCACCAATTGCAATTTTCTGGCTGATCACAGCTCTTTCAAAAGTCTGATCTGCCGATTCTAATTTTATCTGATACGTCACAAAACACCTTCAATGTTCCAATTATATTTTACTGACAAACACCGAACAAAACCCTTGAAACAAAACAAACTTGTTTTAATAAGACATTAGGTAGTGCTCACTGCAGAGCAAAAAGGGTCAGTGGCAGATTTTCAGACCTTTGTGGAGGCAGATGAGAAGAAAATTCTTCCCACCGATGCTATCAAAGTATCGACCGATGTCCCAAAATTAAGAAAATTGATGCCAATAAATCAGCTGGCCAATTTATTGGTTCACCTCTATTAATAATATTAAAATTTAACAAAGGTAGCTTAGAGACAACACATACATGAAGAACTGAGGGTCCCGCCATACAAGCTTATTTACGATGATTTCTGACAAGAATAATATAAAAAAAAACATGCATCTTGGGATAGGGTAGGCTGTGAGGGATAAACCAGACCTGTCTCTTAAATTGGGTTGAAAAGGATAGGGATGTCCCGATCAGATACTCAGTATCGGTATCGGTGGCAGATTTGGCCATTTTTTGAAAATCGCGTAGGATCGAATTTAGTCGTGATCAGGCCAATCCAGTTTATGCAACAGTTTTCAGCATCATCTTGCTTTACAGCTGCTGTTAAGAAGTCAAGACACGCACAAGTATGCAACCATGTCCACAGTGTGGGAACACTTTTCAATGGAAAACAATGATGCTGAAACTGCATGTTGCAAAATCTGCAAACTGGATGTTTCTCGTGGGAACATCAGGGCTCACTTTAATACTACCAACCTTGTCATTTGGAAAGAAATAAAAAAATTAAGCTGAAAGCTGTTGGATCGGTATCGGAAAGACTAATCATTAACAAATCGGATTGTACCGGGAGCCAAAAAAATCTGGATCGGGACATCCCTAGAAAAGGACACATTTGTGGGCCACGATTGGAGGTGCCTTCGAATTTGCACAGCTTTCAGTGCATCGCTGTGATGTAATGGACCCTCAAATTCATCCTTCAAAGGATGCAGCCACTGAATTTGGACACAGCTGTTGTGTAACTGCATGTGCCGTGTACTGGTACCACAGTGGCCCAATGGTAAAACCAAGGAGGACACCTGTACACATTGTGAAGGTTAGTCATTTTTTGCCCCATTACAGAACTCTGTGATGGTTGCACCTTCCATTAGGATGTTAGTGTTGAATTCTTCAATGTTATCCTGCACGGTGCCTTGATGACTAGCAACATTCAGCCTATGGGTTCATCGTTCTACCCCTCTTGACAGCACTCTAGTCTTACAACAAGACAACGATAGTTCACATTCAATAGACTTCCTAAATCATCTCGCCTCTGTCAGCCAAGTTCCCTGATCTTTCCACTTTCAAACATGTTTGCTCAGCTCGAGCTTCAGTTCTGACTCAGGGCAGGTAGGCCAAGCTTTCTCAATGATCAGTTCAAACAGCTGTGGACCAACTTGTCACCGGAGACGATACAATGATTAAATAACTCTGTTCCACAAGTGAGTGCTGCTTGTGTCTAAACCCAGGGGAGTGCCACACCCTGTTGGCAAGAGACCAGCAGGGAATCTGCTGCCAACTCTTTTCACTATTTAATCTGATATTGCTTTTTGTTTGTTTCCTTCAAAATATTTTCTTTGGACTTTGGCTTTTCTTCACTTATAGCATTTTTTTCCTGCTGACTACTTAATATTAATGAGAGAGACAGGAAAAGCCTAAACCCACCAGTCATGTAGAGCAGGGGTTCTCAAACATTTTGTGTCTGGGGACCCCTTACAAAGGTGAAAAATTTCCAGGGACCCCCTTATAAACCCCATGCTGTTTTAAAAATAGTTTACTGTCATTTTACCTACTAAATGCCATGGGAATATTCTCTTATGTTTGGTTTAGTATGTTTGTTTTACTAGCGTATTGTTCTCCAAATGCATTTTTGAAATATAAGTCAAATGAACGATTTATTGAACATTTTTGAGGACCCCCAAGATATGACTCATGGACCACTGGGGGCCCTGGGACCCCAGTTTGAGAACCTCTGATGTAGAGGACAAATATGTACATCGTCTTTATGTGGTCAAACTGAAGTGTGCATGATCTGTGGAAAAATAAATTTGGCAGGTTTCAGTTTCGTTTGGGATTTAATGACGCTGGATGTCTCTTCAAAAGTCCCCCAAATAAAATTATATTGTTGCAGCAAATATCCAAGAAACAAAACCTTAAGAGCAAAATGTTCTAATGCTGAGGATCATTTAAGCCTAAAAAAAGTTTTTGTCAGACTGAATGATGGGATTTGAAATAAGTTATGGATCAAATATTTAATCGATTAAAAGCTGAAAAACTTTTTACTGAAAATCATTGTTTCATGGTCAAATTTGGGGATTTAAAAGCTACCATCTAAAACGCAGCGCACCAACTTCCCTTAAGATGATTTTATTTGAGTTATTTGATAATCCCTAATTTATTTAATACTAATCTGCAGCATTTTAATTGATTACAATAACATTATGTGATACTTTTGCTGGCAGCATATAAATGAATGTTAAAAACATGCTTGTGGCTTAGCTGCTGTTTTTTGGATAATTAATAGTAGCAGTAGTAGTAGTAGTAGTAGTTGTAGTAGTAGTCATAGTTAGTAGTAGTTTATTCGTTGTGTATTTTAAATAAAATCAGTTAGATTGTTACATTTTTAAATTTTGTGCATGATTTTATTCTCATACCTGTGTGTAACCAGTCTGACAGCTTTCCTTCTGCATGATTCTAGTTCCTGTTTGCAAATGGTTATCTGCATATTATGGTGTGTTGCTGCTTCTACACAGCGAAAAATCTACCTTACAATCTGAGTTGTGTGGGCTACCTCTGCTTAGTGCAGATGTCCTTTTTTTCTTCTTCTATTTCATAATAAAAATGTGTTTTTTCATTGTGGTTTAAGCTAACTTTCAAGTAGTCAACATTCATTCGGTGTCCAAAGGGACTCGTGTGACTGAATACAAATCCATTTGTGGTAACAGGATTGTCAGAGTCCTTCACTCTGCTGAGGGGGTATCAACATAGACAGGTGTCTACATTCAACAATAAATAAGCTCATTTAAAGTTGATTTGCTTTCTGTGACAGACAACAAAGAGGAAGCTTGTAAAACAATTTCTCTTCTAATCCAGGGAGAGTCCTGAATCTACGTTTGAGGTGTATCTGGAGGTGGCCCACCTGGGCAAGCACAGCTCAGGTTAGTTCAATGTGGCTAAAATTATCCTGACTTTCTCTTTGTCCATCCATCTGTCCATTCATCCCTCTGCCTGCCTGCCGACTTACTTTGAGGAGCTCTATTCTGAACTACAGACGTCTTTATTTTCTCACTATCATTACACATAATCAGAAGAATCCATGTGTGGTTCATTCTTTGGTTTTTCCTTTTCAAAATTAAAATGAGAAAAAACAAATTAAAAATAATTTTAAAATGTCCGTAGGTAGGGTTGGGCATAATCGTATCGTGTGCAATTAATCGTCAGAAAAACAATCGATTATTCTTTGGCACTTGACGATTAATGCCACCAGGCAGAGTCCACTCGGTGCTCCTCTCTGCTTCAAATACGACAAACATAAAAAAAGTTCTGTAATTTATTTATCTATCAACACGATTTAAAATTTGATGTATAGCCTGAAGTCTGTGATTTTGACACAATTTGGAACAGATTTTTACGAAGGGCAAATCCTTCCCACTAAATTGGTCATGTGACTATGAAATAAGGGTGTCGAGGGACTCCAGGGGATTAATCATCAAATTAATCATTACCGGCTAAATACCACAATTAATCATGATTAATTTTTTTGCCAATATTGCCCAACCCTACCTTGTAGGAATGGTTTCTGTTTTTAAAGACCCTGCCACACTGTAATGTTTTAGACAACTTATGAAAACATTTTTAAAACTAAATAACTCATATACAGTGGGGAGAACAAGTATTTGATACACTGTTGATTTTTCAGGTTTTCCCACTTGCAAAGTTTGTAGATGACTGTAATTTCTATCATAGGTACTCTTCAACTGTGAGTGATGGAATCTAAAACAAAAATCCAGAAAAATACAATGTATGATTTTTAAATAATTAATTTCCATTTTATTGTGTGAAATAAGTATTTGATACACCAGAAAAATGAAAGTTAATATTTGGTACAGAAACCTTTGTTTGCAATTACAGAGATCAGACATTTCCTGTAGTTCTTGACCAGGTTTGCACACACTGCAGCAGGGATTTTGGCCCACTCCTCCATACAGATCTCCTCCAGAGCCTTCAGGTTTCGGGGCTGTCGCTGGGCCACACGGACTTTAAGCTCCCTCCAAAGATTTTCTATTGGATTCAGGTCTGGAGACTGGCTAGGCCACTCCAGGACCTTAAGATGTTTCCTACGGAGCCACTCTTTAGTTGCCCTGGCTGTGTGTTTTGGGTCGTTATCATGCTGGAAGACCCAGCCACGACCCATCTTCAGTGCTCTTACTGAGGGAAGGAGGTTGTTGGTCAAAATCTCATGATATATGGCCCCATCCATCCTTCCACAATATGGTGCAGTCGTCCTGTCCCCTTTGCAGAAAAGCATCCCCAAAGAATGATGTTTCCACCGCCATGCTTCACGGTTGGGATGGTGTTCTTGGGGTTGTACTCATCATTCTTCTTCCTCCAAACATGACGAGTGGAGTTTAAACCAAAAAGTTCTATTTTTGTCTCATCAGACCACATGACCTTCTCCCATTCCTCCTCTGGATCATTCAGATGGTCATTTGCAAACATCAGACGGGCTTTGACATGCGTTGGCTTGAGGAAGGGCACGTTGCGTGCACTGCAGGATTTTAATCCTTGACGGCGTAGAGTGTTACTGATTGTTTTCTTTGAGACTGTGGTCCCAGCTCTATTCAGGTCATTGACCAGGTCCTGCCGTGTAGTTCTGGGCTCATTCCTCACCTTCCTCAAGATCAATGATGCTCCACGAGGTGAGATCTTGCATGGCGCCCCAGACCGAGGGAGATTTTCCGTTATTTTGTATTTCTTCCATTTTCTAATAATTGCACCAACTGTTGTTGCCTTCTCACCAAGCTGCTTGCCTATTGTCCTGTAGCCCATCCCAGCTTTGTGCAGGTCTACAATTTTATCCCTGATGTCCTTACACAGCTCTCTGGTCTTGGGCATTGTGGAGATGCTGGAGTCTGATTGATTGAGTGTGTGGACAGGTGTCTTTTATACAGGTAACGAGTTCAAACAGGTGCAGTTAATACAGGTAATGAGTGGAGAACAGGAGAGCTTCTTAAAGAAGAACTAACATGTCTGTGAGAGCCAAAATTCTTACTGGTTGATAGATGATCAAATACTTATTTCACACAATAAAATGGAAATTAATTATTTAAAAATCATACATTGTATTTTTCTGGATTTTTGTTTTAGATTCCATCACTCACAGTTGAAGAGTACCTATGATAAAATTACAGTCATCTACAAGCTTTGCAAGTGGGAAAACCTGAAAAATCAACAGTGTATCAAATACTTGTTCTCCCCACTGTGTGTCGTATATTTGAGTAGGATGTATTCGTCCAGAAGATGCTTCCAGTTGATTTTTTAAATTCCATTTTCAGCGTAAACATCTTCAAAATCGGACAAAAGTTTCATAAACTGTCTCAGATGTCATAGTGTGACAGGGCCTTCAGCAGTTTTCCAGGCACTAATAAACTCTCCTTTTTTGATGACTTCAATCATTTCTGGTACCGCAACATATTAAAACAACAACCATATACACTACCTGGCCAAAAAAAAAAAAGTCGCCACCAAAAAAATGCTCACACACTAATTTTGTTGGACCAGCTTTAGCTTTGATTACAGCTCACATTCTCTGTGGCATAGTTTGGATAAACTTCTGCAATGTCACCAGATTTATTTCCATCCAGTGTTGCATTAATTTTTCACCAAGGTCTTGCATTGATGATGGTAGAGTCTGATCTTCTCCAGCACATCTCAAAGACTCTCATTGACTCTGTGGAGCCAATCCATGTGTGAAAATGATGTCTCATGCTCCCTGAACCACTCTTTCACATTAAGAGCCCCATGAATCCTGACATTGTCATCTTGGAATATGGCCGTACCATCAGGGAAGAAAACATCCATTGATGTAATAACCTGGTTATTCAGTATATTCAGGTCAGCTGACCTCATTCTTTCAGCCCAAACTGTTGCTGCTGACCACCTGCAGAGACCCCACATCATAGACCTTAGTTAAATCCAGGTGGACTTTTTTTGGCCAGACAGTGCATTTTATTTTGGATTTAGATAGCTGAAGCAAAAATCGAACTCCGGGTTTTTAATTAGTTTGATTTTATATTTAGGTTTTAAAAACAAAAAAGCCCAAATCGGTTTTAGCAGAACGACTATAAATTTTATAATTGTTTTTCCTGTTGATTTCTATCCAAATATGCATTAAATGTACTGGTGGGATGTTTCATAATCACATTTCTATTCGATTTTCTTAAATTATACAAAACGGGGAAAATACTGCCTAAATAGTGTTAAGTGCATTACACTTTCTTTAAACAAGGTGGTTGCACGTAAAAGCTTTTAGTTGTTCTTTTTGTGGCCTAATTTCTTTTTTAGGACCATTACATTATACATTTTTAACAAGTTCACACTGTTAGATAATTTGGAGCATGAAAACGCACCACCGACAAAGATTCAAGTCAGGTGAAACAGTTTCAGTGTGACAGCTTTGCTCAGCTGCTGAACTAGCTTTTAATAACAGTTTTACTTCTTTTGACAGACAGACGCTTCAGAAAAACAGATGGCCTTCTGTGAGGCTGCTGCTATGTGGGGTCACTGTTTATCAGAGATTACAGGACAGAACTGTTGAAAGAGGCTGGCTCAGAGCACTCTTTGATGTTTGTCTAAAAGATAAATGGAGGCTCTGTTATAAAACGGCGCCTCATCTCATGCCAGTAAGGACTTTTTTATTTGTACTTCAGTGTGCGGCTAATTTCCTGGATACCGAGGAGAGATTGTCAGGGTATTTCTAAGAATTCTTTCCTGTTGGCGTCTTTAGTCTGACATCATTTCCTGCATGCGCTCAGACACTATATTCACCTTTGCTTTAATTTAAACAGAGTCTTAGACAAAATAGTTTATAGAGCTGCATTGTGTCAGTGTCTTGGTGAAACCTTTCTTTACCAGGTTGAGTTTTGATTTACTGACTTGTGTGTTCCCTCTTCTGACAGGGCCAGATGTACAAAGGCAGTTCCCTGAAGACTACCCAGACCAGGTCTGAACCACAGAGTGCCACCATGCTTTGTTCCTGTGCACATGAATAAATCTATTTTCTCTTTCTTCTTTTTCTTCTGGTGTGTTTTGCACAAACTTGAGTTGTAATGATGCACATATCTGACAATACTGGTGATAATAGTGTTTTAATTGTATTTGATCATTTCAGGTATGGCTCTTCTTTTGTATGTCCTCCTTTTACTCATTACTTCTTCTTGTATACTTGTCTAACTCTTTTCCTTTGTTAAAGCAAACAGTCGTAGTATTTGTACATAATTTTCACTCTTCTGTCACAGGAAACCCTCGTTACTGTGCCAAAGTTCTGCTTCCCCTTCGGCATGGACTGGTACGCTCACACGGTTTTTAAATGTGTAATATTAAAATGTGATTCTAAATTAAGAATTAAAACAAGCTTTATTGTGGTACTCTCCAAAAATGTTAGGGAGAGTGTATGTTAATATTTTTAATCGTTAACTAAAATGAAAACAAACGGTGAATTTGAACCCAAAGTCACAATCGTCTTTGTTGTCCTCTGCTATAAAAAGTGGTCAGTGTTCATCTGTTTGTTAGCAAAATATCTCATAAACCAGTCAGCAGATTTTTTTAGATAGCAATCACTGAATGTACATCTACAACTGATTTAACTTTTGGAGTCAGTCTGATTTAAGTGAATCAACTTTAGCGAGCACTTAAATTGTTCTAAACATCATCTTTATAGACATGACCCAGGATTTGGTGCGGTAGTAGCTTCCATTCAAACCCATCACATGCTCTGAGCACTAACCTACTGTGCAACATTTCTGTTTATAACTTTGCATTTCTTTAAGGAAGCCTATTGTTATTAATTAACTGGATATACATGTGTGGTGGAGTTTGTTAAAAAAGTGTCAGTGCTTTACTTTCAGATTGCTGATGTTAATTTTGGACTGACTCACAGGTCCAAGTGTTTCCTTTTGCACGACTTGCTCCACCACACACTAGAAAAAACTACTGGGCTGTTGTGAAATACAGAATAACAATAAAACATGCAGTTATATTTACTTTGACTATTTAAATGGTAAATGGACTATCCAGGGGTTCTCAAGCCATTTGGGTCTGGGGACCGCTTACAAGGGCGAAAAAAATTCCAGGGACCCCCTCATAAACCAAATGCCATGGGAATATTTTTATTAAGTTTATTATGTTTGTTTTATTTGTTCATTGTTCTCCATGCATTTTTAAAAATAAAAACCAAATTAACATTTCAGTAAAAATGTTTGAGGACCCCCAAGATAACTCTCGCGGACCCCTGGAGGTCCAAGGACCCCAGTTTGAGAACCTCTGCTTTACACTACAGTCTGTGCCCTCATTTACCCATTCATACAGCACACTAAAGAGTGCTTTAAATCACTATTGTACACTGATGGAACACACATCAGAGGCAGTGGGGGTCGAGTGTCTTGCCCAGGGACACTTCGACATGTGACTTAAGTAGTAGTGGAATCAAACCGCCAACTCTCTCATTGGAGGACGACTCACAAAACCACTGAGCCACAGCTGCCCCTGTTTACTATAGATTATTTCTTTATTTCAGGCATTTAACATGTGATTAAAAGAAATAATTGACTGGATCACTATTGGTGATGCTGATAACAGTTCAGTTTGGAAACGAGTTGCACATTTTAAAGCGAATAAAACACGAAATGATTCAAGAAACCAGAATCACATTGAAAGCAAAAACAGCAAGGGGCCAAATCAGTCTTTAGTTGATGCTTATTGTCTGAGTATTTAAAACATCAAAACTGTTTCTATTGATTGTTTCGAGGAGTCCTGTTTTAGTGTAGTTGGTTGATCAGAACTAATTGTGCAGAAATCCAAATTCTGCAGCGAAGTTGGCAGCAGGTGTCAAGTAGGCAAGGCAAATTTATTTGTGTATCACATTTCATACCAAAAAAAACAAGCGAGCATGCACACACACAAATATACAATATTAAAACAATTATTAAAAGCAGTACTAGACCACCGTAAGAGCAATGACTTAAAAGCAAATAGCAAATAAGAATATATTTAAATTTAAATTTAAATAAGGTCAGATCAGAGGTGTATGAAAACTAAAAGCAGCTTCACCATGTGTCGTTCTGATTTGCAGAACAACTAATAATCCTGTGTTTGCTGATCTGAGCTCTGACTGGTTCAGAATGCAGAAGATGATCCGTTAAGTACCGTGCAGCTAAAACGCTCAGTGATTTATAAACAAGGAGTACTTTAATGTATTCTGTCAGAAAGTGGTAACCAGTGGAGTGAGTGAAGAACTGCAGTTATATGATGACATTTCTGGGTCTTAAGACTCTGGCAGCTGCATTCTGGACCAGCTGGAGTTGTTTTTGACAGACCTTGTAGTAATCCATTACAGTAATGTAGTCGACTGGAAATGACAGCATGAACAAGCAAATAAAACAAATCCTCACACATTTGAACAAAGTTGCAGTGTATCTCAGATGTTTCAGCTTTTATTTATTGAATAAAACACAGATCTTCTTATGCTTTGTTTTAATGTGCTTTTCTTAGACTTGACTGATGAAAACTTTTATTTGGAAATTTATTCATTTCATTTGTAACATAAAATAACGAACAAAAAACATGCAGTCAAAATAAAATCAATTAAAATGAAAGGCAGCAGCAGAAGAATAAATCTTATATTTGCCCCTTTTTTATACCCAAAATATGTTCAAACGTAAAGTAAATTACAACAAAAATCTAAACAACTGAGAACACACAAAAAACTAAAAACAAAATTTAAAACACCAACTCAAACAACAATTAGCATGAATTCACTTATACTTCTCCATATTTCTTCAGAATACTAGTTTTTATCATTCTCTTTAATATATACAAAGATCTGGGGTCGGATTTATAAAACTTGCGTACGCACAATTTGAGCCCAGAAACTTGCGTACGCCACTTTTTACACCAAGGTTGTGATTTATAAAATCCAAACTTGACATGAAAATGTGCGGTGCCTCAGCCAACTCTGACCCATGCGTACGCTCATTTTGGAGACGGGAAGCTGTGACACAGTTGGTGAAGTGAAGAATTAGAGCCACACTGTGTAATGATCACTGTCAGATATTTAATTTACCTTCAGAATCAGACTTAGATTTTTATTCAACTTTATCATCAACTTTCTTAAGAGTAATATTTATGCTTCTGCTGCTGCTGAGCCATGAGGACCTTTGAAATAAAAAAACTTAAATCTTAAATAAAAGTTCCCGTGCGCAACTCCATTCATCTGCTTCCTCCTCAGACAACCCTGACCCACAGACCCCTCCCTGACCCACAGAACCATACCCGACAAGAACAGCAGGACAGCAAAAGTCACACTTTGGATACACGCGCAGGGCGCATCCACCTCGCCAGGGTGGATGTTATAAAACTTCACGTTTAAAGTCCGTATTTGTCGCGGCTCGCGCGCGGGGGGATGCATGCCTGTGTGTGCGCGCGGGGCAGGGGTGTCTGCCGCGGATAACAGAGCAGGCAGGAGGGGGAGAGGACGAGGAGGAGAGCGGTGGACTTACTTTTAATTTTACCTGACTTATTTAATTTAATTTAATTGTTTTTATCGTCCTGCAGGCTCTGAGGGAAAATTAATTTGAAGCTGAGATTTTTTTAAAATAAAAATCGTTAGATTACTCTAAAGCAAAATGAGGGAAAATCTGTGTCAATTACAGACATTCTGTTCACATGAGCAGCTGTCAGTCAGCACCTGTCATCCTCCAGACGCACGACAGAGCGTGTCTGAACCAATCACTTTTGTTGACATTGATCAGCTGACCGATTTAAATACATCTTAACATTCATGAGGTACTTTACATTGACTGTTTATGGTTGAGTGTGGGCGTGTAGAGGGTAGAACCTGAGGCGGGACCTCGTGCGCAAACTCTGACGTGCGGCTGTGATTTATAAAGGAAAGATGCGCAGAAACGTGCGTACGCACAGTTTTATAAATCTGAATTTCTTTTGGCGTACGCCATTATCACCTTTTGGCCGTACGTTCACTTTTAGTATGGTTTCCACGCAATCCTTTATAAATGAGACCCCTGGCATTTTTAACCTCAACTTCCAGACCGTTCCACAAACTTATTCCATGGATTAAAGAGGATCTCTCCTTCAGGCTCGTACGAAACCAGGGTTTCACAAACATTTCGGTTCCCTTAAGATAATAACAGCTCTCTCTTTTAACAAAATTTACTTGAATGTCAGAAGGTAACACACCTTTATGAGCTCTGTACATTAACAGCAAAATATTATAATCGACCAAATCATAGAATTTTAATTATTTCAATTCATAAAACAATATATTCCATGGATGGCTATAATTTTTTTCTGGTAATAATTCTTATAGCTCTTTTCTGTAAAATAAAAATAGGATTTGTGATAGTTTTACAAGCTTTAACCCATACTTCAATACAGTAAATTAAATGTGGAACAATTATAGCGTTATACAACATAAAAAGTGCTTTATCATTGAAAACCTGCTGGTAATGTCTCATGTTGTCCAGTCGTTTAGAACCACGTCTGACCTTTATTATTTCCTTCCCTGTCTCCCCCTGCAGCCAGACAATCAACCAGGCTGGCCAGAACTTCACCTTTGTATTGACTGACATTGAGAGTAAACAGAGATTTGGCTTCTGTCGCCTCTCTCCAGGCGCACACACCTGCTACTGCATTCTCAGGTGAGTCTTTGTGTATCCAGTCACTGCTTCTGTTGTTCCAGTGTGATTAAAGGAGATTATTAAAATGAGTGAAAACAAAATGAAATTATCGGTCTTAAAGGATTTATACTCAGCAGTTTTACTTTGTAGGGAAAAAAATCGTAATTATGGCACAAACATTAATTTACCTTTCCTGATCGAATAAAGGGAGCAAAAATGTAATCATAACTTCAGAAATATCCCTTTTAGTATTTTGTTGAACCTTCTCTGGCTTTCTGACAGCTTCAGTTCTCTGAGGCATGAACTTGGCAGTATAGAGCCACACAACAATGCATTTTTTTCAATTTCCGCTGTAAATCTTCAATTAGATTGATTATTTATCATTAGGTTGATGTGTATTTTCTGAAAAACAGTTTTAACAGGTATTATCACCCTGAAAATGACTAGCTATTTTTATTGATGAAATGAGTAAATGTCCACCCGAGCATTTCCTTAGTAGCATAGAGAAGTCTCACCAGAGACAGTGTTTTATAAGGAGGCTCAGTTCTGCTGTGCTGACTTCATATTACCTGTGGGTGGTGGAGTGTTTCGACATTTTCCACCACAGCCTGGTATGGAAATTACCCTGAGGATGTTAAGACATTACTGCAAAGTGTGATTCAATCAGCTCAAAAAAGGACTTGACAGCAGCCTCCACTCACTTCGTTTACATTTACACCAGCAGGTGTGGGATCAGAGGTGGACCCCACCCATCCAGCTCCTGAACTGTTAACTCCCCTTCTCTGAGGCTGAAGCCTTAAAATGTCTGACTGAGTTGCATCTGTTGGGTCTAATTTGTGCCTAAAGATTTGGAGAAAATGCACCTAAATGTGTAAATGTTTCGTTAAATTTTAAGGGTTTCTAACCAGCAAGCAGTGTGGAAATCACTGCTTATAACGTGTGCACTGTTTGCACTATAAGGGTGTGCACGTGTGTTTTCATTTCCCTCTTCTGCCTGATTTAGACCTACCTGGACTTTGCTTTTGAAATGAAGATGGTCTGATTTGGACCTGTTTTTAAATTTGGCTTGTCGATATGGGTTTAAGATTTAGACGTTCAGGGCTGTAGCCTCAAATGTTTTCTGTCACTGGAGAGCTCCTAAAAGTGGAGTGGTTGGAGACGCCCAGGATGACTTTGTGATTATTTTGAGAAACAAATTTCTCACGCTTTCTTCTTTTTTTTTTTTACAAAGGTTCAAAGTTCAATCTCTTTTTGTAAATACCATTCATCATCTAGTTGCCAACTGTTAAAGAACTGTGTACTATCCAAAACCTAGACAGCGAGGCTGAGGAACAGTTTCTTCCTTGAAGCTGTGAGGTTCATAATCTCAGTCCATTAAACTGCCCTCTGGTTAAAAAAAATAAAAAATAAAAAAATAAAAACCTGCCCTCTGGTTTTGGTTTTATTACTGGAAATTTCAGTTATTTAATTATTAATATTTTTAACTGCTTTGAGGAATGCAATGTTTCAGACATGAATAACAAATAAATCTGATTCTAATTTTAATTCTTCTGGTCTTAACATGCATCGTTTTTTTTCCATTCCTATTTATGTATATTTTTTTATTGGAGCAACACTGTGCTAAATTTTTGTTTTTCCTGTAAAAAATAAAATTTCTGTAACTCGTCTGTTTAAGTTTGCTCACAAACACTGACTCAAGTTTCTGCCTTTTTGTCATTCTTTCTTTGGTTTTACTCTTCTAATATTAGAGGCGTGTTGCTTTTAGCTTTAATGTTGTCTTTGCTCTTACCTGAATATTTCTGTTTTATATCGATTTTGTTTTGTTTGCTCCACATTTTTTAACCCACCTCCATGTTTTGTCACATTTTGCATTGAATCATTTTGTTGAAGCCACAGTAACAACTGGCTGACTCTTGTTGGACTCATGCTTGCTTTAAATAAGTCAGCTGCAAACATCCTCTTTGCTCCACATGCTTTTGGATGTTTGAACACGTTTCTGTGTTGGAAAAGAAAATTATATGATGAATATATGAATTCAATCTGTGCATTTATTACAAAAATAACAACTTCAATTGAAAAATAAAATATTTTGGTGTTTTGTTTTGTGGGTGTTTCTACATCAAAATGACCTCTTCCATCAGTGACTGTATTTCAGACATGAATGCATTTCCTCTTTGTTTAGAGAAGATGATAGAAAAGTTCCGATCATTTTCAAAATATATAATAAGTCTAAAGCATTTTAGTTGTTACAATGTTGCAGTGTAAATATAGTTTCTGTTGTGTCCTCCAGCTATCTGCCCTGGTTTGAAGTTTTCTACAAGTTGCTGAATATCCTGGCAGATTATGCTGTCAAAGGTCAGGTGAGTAATAACAGGTGACTCTTTTAGTTTTAAACAATTTTTTAATTTCTTTGTGTAGATCTAATCTCTGTTTTACCCAAAATATTTACCAAAAATCTTTGCTTTTTTCCTGAGCTGGATAAGGATTTCCCTGATCCTTATTGATCTTGACATTAGTTTATGAAAAGCAGGTCAGTTTCACATAAATCTGTAATATTTGGTCACATTCCAGAGCAGGGCTGGGCAATGAAAACTATAACGATATGCCATATAAACTGAAAACACTGTCCACCTAACCAAGTTTAAAATCTTATATCAGCCAAAAAGTCTTTTTGATCTTGTTTTGAGACTGATTTACTAAACAAGAACTGATTGTGTAAGAATAATAATCTTGTTTTCAGAATGTGTCAGATTATTTGTCTTGTTAGTCTGAAAATTTAACTCAAATTAAGTCAAACACTTCTGCCAATGCAGTAAGAAAATTTTACTTGGTAAGATTCTTGAAATAAGAAAAAACTGAGTCAAATCAAGTATTTCAAGAATCTTACCAAGTAAAATTTCCATACTCCATTGGCAGAAGTGTTTGACTTAATTTGAGTTAAATTTTCAGACTAACAAGACAAATAATCTTACACATTCTGAAAACAAGATTATTATTCTTATACAATCAGTTCTTGTTTAGTAAATCAGTCTCAAAACAAGATCAAAAAGACTTTGGCTGGATATAAGATTTTAAAACTTGGTTAGACGGACAGTTTTTGCAGTGTATAATGATAGACACATGATCAATATCAATAGAAAACAGTAACGATATCACAAGACATCTGATCAATAGATAATGATACACACTAGTGGTCAATAGTTTTACAACACCCTCATTTTTCCAGTTTTTTAATTTGACATTCAAGCAGCTCGAGTCCACTGGACAGCTTGAAAGGGTACAGAGGTAAATGCTGAACTGCCAGAAGTTTAATAAATGTAAGGTTGGACAAAACTCAACAACAAGGTGTTTGTGAGTCCAGTTTCCTTCACCATCACAATGCACTCTTTATTTACAATTATTTTATTTGTGCAGTTACTTTTGAGCCCCTGAAATGAAGGGATTGTGTTTAAAAAATGCTTTAGTTTCTCACTTTTCATTTTGTTCAACCCACTGAATAAAGCTGAGTCTGAACTTCATCTGAAACGTTCTGTTAAAAATTCATTGTGGTAATGTACAGAACCAAAATAAGGAAAATGTCTCTGTCCAAATTGATATGGACCTAACTGTATGTCTGAGAGAAAGTTGGTAATTTACTGAACCGGATCCAGAACTTCATGACATTCTGGGGGATGTAGGCAGATGAAAGGCTTCAGCTGCTCGACCTCTCACAGCCCAGCTAATACAGTTCAGTAGCACCAGCTAACGCACTCACTCTTTGATAAGCTACCAATAACGTGTTGAGTAACATGCAGCAGCAGTTTCATGTTTCAACCCTGTGCCTTTATAACTGCGTAAAAATAAAAAGAACGATGTGAAAATGAGTACAAAAGCTGGAGAGGAAACTGCATAAAAGAGGAAAGGTCACGTCACCAGTTTGGCAGAACTAAACTGCCTTTTTTCCTCCTGATCCTGATTTCAAATATGTAAAACAAAAAACTAATCATCAGTTATTGATATCTTCTGATATGAAATGCTTAAACTGTGATTTATTTTCCAGCCCCATCATCCAGAGCTTTTTCCCTCTCTGAACTTCTTTTTCTTTGACTACATAATTCTTGTACAGACTCTTCAGTTCAGCTTTTTTTTTTTTACATACAAATAAAGGAAAGTTTTCTGTTGCCATTGCATGAAGTTAAATTGCTGTAATGTTTCAGGAAAGCCAATGGCAGGAGCTCCTGGTGTCATTACATACACTCCCCATACCTGAGCCTGGAGTCCCCGTTCACCTTGGAGTGGTGAGGCTCATTTTACTATTTCACATGCAGCTGAAACTAAAAAAATAACACCACAGACTGCTAGGCTTCAGTTGTGATCTCTGTCTACACATTTGTATTCAGATTCTCTATCATGAAATCTTGTGCTTTTTATGCTTTATCACCCTGTGGTTCTTCCAACCTCACAGACCCTCTTCTTTGTGTTCTCCAGCATTCCTTCTTCACTGTGCCTGACATCAGGGAACTCCCCAGCATACCGGAGAACGTGAGTGTTTTTATTCCTCATCATGGGAGTCATTCCAGACAAATGTCAAAGGTCTCCTAGGTTTGGCCATAAACAACCTTCACAGTCATGGAGGAAACGTCCTGATTAGCTTTGTAAGGCAGAAATGGCTGTTAGTCATGAGAGAGAGTGTTTCTTATTCCACAACGTTAAGCATATCCAAACTACCTTCATCTCATTTATCTACCTGAATTTTTTCTTTTTCATCTCACGCGGCTGTCTGCAGTGAGTCAGCATAGATCTTAGAACTAACAGATTCTAAATAATGTAATTATAAAGAGAACAAAGAAATCTGTTAGAGTACAGGGGTTTAAAGAAAGAATTTATCTTTCCATGAATATGTCAACAAAATCTGACTGAATGCTCCTTGTATTTAAAGTAAGTACTTGTGTGAACAAGTGAACCCAAAACAAGCTTGTTGGCAGGATAATTACGCTGTTTATGTGGGTAAGGGATGTTGAATAGGCCTAACTACAATACCTCAATACTTTAATCTGGCAGTCAAGCCAAAAATGTTATTTTCTGTCTTTTCTTGTTACAGTTTGGCATTTGGAACTGAAGTAGAAATTTAACACTTTGTGAATGATGGAGTTTTATTGAATCACAGATTTACCACCACGGCTGATGCTTCTGTTTATTTTTCCCTCCCTTTGTTTTCCCTTTGCAGAGAAACCTAACAGAGTATTTCGTAGCTGTAGATGTCAACAACATGCTTCATCTGTATGCTAGTATGCTTTATGAACGTCGAATCCTCATCTGCTGTAGCAAACTCAGCACTGTAAGTAGACTTCCTGTTTCCCCTTCCTTTGGCAGCTCTGCATGCTTTTTTCCTCGGATTTCTTTTGTGTGTGGTTTTGAATTTCACTGTATATTTTGATCAAGACGGACGGTATAGGCATTGATTTTGAAATGCCTATCTTGATTACTAGCTTTGGAGAACTTTTTGTCATCCACAGTTTCAATAAACAATCAACAAAATGGTCTTGCCAGAGCAAATAAGACATGCATAACTAAAACCTGCTGAGTCGTGCAATTAGAGTTTATTTACCAGTTTATGCCATTTTCCCCCTCATTTTATTGTAAAAAGGTAAAATGAAGATGTGTTTTTGTGAATGAATTGGGGTGTTGATATAAACATGTATACAGAGCGATACTGAGACTTCACATTTCAGTTTTTTCTTTCGTCCTCAGTTAACCGCTTGTGTCCATGGGTCTGCAGCCATGTTGTGTCCGATGCACTGGCAACATGTTTACATTCCTGTCCTCCCTCAGCACCTTCTGGATTACTGCTGGTGCGTGTTTCAGCCATTCAGACTGCTGTTCAGCTCACTGAACACACAAGAGAGTCTACACACACTGTGATCAGATGCAATATTCCTAACATTTTCTAAGTAATGGACCACTTTGTTTTATTTCCCCTCAGTGCCCCGATGCCATACCTCATTGGAGTACATTCCAGCCTGATGGAGGTAAGTTTCTATAACACTGAGGCAAATAAAAAGACGAGAGATTTAAGCTTAAAATTTAAACTATTGCTTGTAGTCCTTTCCTGCGTTCATACTGAGAAGTTCTGTGGTTTTAATTGTCACCAAACATGTCATGTTTGTTGCTTGTAGAAAGTTCGAGGTATGGCTCTGGATGATGTGGTAGTCCTAAATGTGGACACAAATACACTGGAAACCCCATATGATGACCTTCAAAGTCTGCCCAACGATGTGGTGAGAACCTGCTGGAAACCAGCTGTTCCATGTTTAGTTCTTACATAAAAGTGAAGCGGTTGTTTCTGTGTGGCCTAATAAGTCCATGTCCTGCAGGTTTCGTCTTTAAAAGGCCGTTTGAAGAAGGTTTCAACAACAACTGGCAGTGGTGTGGCTCGGGCCTTCCTCAAGAGTCAGGCAGCTCTGTTTGGCAGCTACAGGAACGCTCTGCAGATTGAAGCGGTCAGTTTATAATCCAGACTCCCTCATACTCCCCCAGGCTAAACTTATTACTCACTTGTCTGAATTATTCTATAAAAAGTTTAATATATACATATATAT